GATCATGTGGTAATACTTGTATGCAAATCTTTTGCTTGCACTGCAACGTTTTGGAGAGTTATATGACAATACTACGTTTTGCTTCTGGATGGCAACCTTATGTTATAATTTTGCTAACTTGTGCTGCTTCCACATTTGGTATTTCGACGAAATGTATAATTAATTAACAAGGGTAACCTGCCTATTCCTTGCTATTTTTTAATGCTTATGAGCATTGTTTAGTTAAAAAAAGCAACAAGAAATTTGACTCGTAATATTACGAGGGGCTCGTATATATACCTCCATACGAAGACCCCTATTGTTTACGTTCTTGGCAATTTACATTCTAAAGCTGAAATTAGTCGAGAACGCAGAACGTATACTTAAACGCAGTCTGTATACGCAGAATTTTGCCGATTACTGGAGCCCTCAGTGTTGCTTACTACACTGTTGCCACTCATCAATGCATTTTCATAAACTTACCCTTTCAACTACAANACGTTAACATAAATTAAGTTTGGTAGCACTTGTATATGTCAGCGAACGCAAATTATAGTGGATTGCCGCTGACGAAGGCGCTTTTAAAACAAAAGTAAATATATTTATAAACAAATTAGCAACAAATAGCTGTGCAAAAAGGGAGGATAAAAGACAGGTAAATCACCGAAAACATTTTTTCGAATGGAAAAAGTAGAATTTTCACGGGGAATAGATGAAAATGAAGGACTGCGTCTTCAAAAAAGGAAGAAAAGAATCTACAAAGACATTTTACCGGATGAAAAGGAGTCGAAGATTACGGAAAGAAAAACGAAAGGATGAAGAGAAAGACCCGAATTGGTAGTAAAGTGTCGTAGAGAGCATAGTAAATAGTAAAAGGTAGTGGAATTGTAAAAAAATCGACACGAGTGTAAACTAGTGGGTGTTTATGAATGAAAAATTAACCATTATACATTTGCGAAATTTGGGGAGTTACATGTGTCAAGTATCAAAATGACCGGCTTTTAACAAGTCCTTCACCCGAACGAAATAAAATAAGTGTAACTTCCTAAAAATATAAGTGATTTGAATACATTCGTAAGGGTCGAGGGACATTTTCGGTCAATAGAAAAATACAAGTGTGAGTGGTGTCATTGTATACTTCGGTGCTGCGTTTGTGGCTACTTGCGTTTCGCCTACAAAATTGATCTTTCCCAACGTTTCGCATTTTCCTATTTGTGTTAAATAAAACTCAATAAAATTTTATAAAAACTTATACAATTTTTTTTCTTATTTTGCAGTTTTAGTAGTTTTAAGTCGTGACCACTGGCATGTACTTATACGCTAAAATAAACTTGTATCACTTTCGCAACACCACCTATTCACCATAATGCTAGTAGCAACCCCAGGGCAGGCAGCGACTTATTCCCTTCTCGGCAGTAGTGCGCCTAAGAAGACATGTCTTACCTCGTCTGCTACACCAAAGAGCACCACCAATAACTCCACTGCGACAACTAGTATTTGCAACAACAACAAAAGCAGCAGTAGCACAGCATCTACGCTCATGAAAACAATATCAGTACGGCTTAATCGAGGCACCGAATTTTTGAAAGATACTGTGCAAAAAGCGCTTATCAGCAACACCTCTAACTCTAATAATACAGCCACCAACTCTTCAAATAGCAACTTCCGCAACACCAACATCAACAACATAAATACAGCTGTTGTTGGGTCACTAAAACATATTCATGTGAAGTCAGCAACAGCAACGTCTTCATCAAACGCTTTAGGAGCAAAGTCCACAGTTTTGGCGGCAGCACCATCAACATCGTCAGGTGCAATTGTTAGGACGAAAATTGCTGCCAACAATTCCAAGGCACTCAAGCTCCACACCGTTCCGCCCACCAAAATACATCGCTACCCACAAGAGCGGCAGGAAGTAAGCAGCACGGATAGTATCAACAAAGAAATGTGCCATTTTAAGCCGATACTTTCGGCACCAACAATGCGTTGGAAATGGTAAAACATTAAATTTCCTAGGTTTCGTTCTCAAAAACTAATGTTTTCCTACTTTTGTTCAGTGGTAGTAAGTCGAGAGGCGGTGCAACCATAAAAATACCAATAGCATGTTTAGCAACGAATATTAAAAACTTGAACTGTGATGACTGTTCGATGGTAACCTATAGCAGCAGCGAAGATGAGAAAGCAGTAGATGAAAACGAAGTTGAAGAAGAAGATGATAAGCATCCACAAAAATACCACAGTTTTAAGCCAAAGCCAAGGTAAAGTTTATGTTATAAATTCATATCTGTTTTATATTTAAATTTAACATCAAAGTTTAAACCAATGGCTAGTCTTTTGCCTTAATTTTTTTTACATCTGCTGGATACTGTCTATGCTGAGCCAATTCCTCCAAATTTACCATTGATTTACTTCTTTTGAAATCAGAAATGTTAAGCTCATCTGACACTTTTCAGATGCCTTTTGTCCTTGCTTTCTGAAACATATTATGCTTAGTCGAGTAGTAACCTACTTAGGAACAATTCGATTTCTAATTTTATAACTATGCTGATTGACGGTGCTAGGAAAAATGTACAGCTTTACCCGTCTGTCACTTGTACGTACCGAAAGTTGCCCAAATTTAGACTCGGCCATCGCCATTTAGCAGCTTTTCCCCATCAGTTTATCCACTTTTACGTAAAAGTACTTTCTAGCCATTAAACTTATTGATCAAAAAACTTCAGTGTACTTTGAATTTTATTGTAAGTTTTTTCAATTTTTCATTTTCGCTGCTAGAAGTTTCTTTCGCTTTTTTTTTGTGAAATTTAATGTTCAAAATTGCATTCCTTTCTGAAACACCAAAATTCGCGATTCCTAAGTAAGCAGATATTTCAAAATATTTGAATGCAATCTATAGAAACGATTTTAGACCGCTGATTTTGAAATCTTAAATTACAGTTCCACCTTACTGACCACAATCATAACTTCCCCTTCGCATCAATCTGCATTCGTCCGTCTGGTCGCACAAATGAAGAATTTGGTAAACATAAATCAAAGACCCAGTGAACAACCGCAGAGTAAGTCCTCTAAAAAGATGGGTCAGTTAAAGAAACGCCACACGGCAACACGTAGCCGCCCTTCGAAAGCAGCTGTTTCATTGAAACTGCCACAGCTGCGAAAATCGCCTGCCAATTTGCCGTTGACGCAGGTCTTCCTTCGCAGCCGCAGGCAATCCTTTGTACAAGTTAAGAATCTCGATTTGCCTGCTGAGCTTATTATCAAAAAGGGGAAGAAAGTTACTGCAGATGCAACTTCCAATAATAACACTGAGGCGGCTAGCAAATCAGCCAAGGACATTACAACCACCACAACAACAACAACAACAAAGAAAGCCAAACGTAATGTTAGCAAATCTAAAGTCATCAATATTGTGGCATTTGCGCAGGAAAAGGGATCCGCTCAAAAACAAAGCAGCGGAACCACAACAACAAGCAAAGATGAACTGACTACTGATATAAACGTCGCTCCAGATTCGGAAGTCAAGCTCAATCAGCGTAAACGAAAGCGAATCGAAGCTCCCAGTTCCGGGGATGAAGTTGTGGGATCCAAAGTGAACGACGTTATAGCCAATGATTCCAGTGAACAAGATGTCTTGCCGCCGCTGCGCAAAAGTGCAAGGCTTTCAAAAGATGGTGGTAGTACCGATTTGATGAAAAGAGGGAATTTGAAGAAGATTACCGTTAGAAAATGTAAAGCGCGAAGCATGTCTAAACGTTCGACAGATTCATTTTCCCCACCAATGACACGCTCACGGCTGAAAGAACTCATGCAAAATAAATCGAGAACGACTGTGGGAAATATCAGAAGACAGTAGGTTGTCTGCGCCATTAGGCAACGAAATTAACAACCATAAGTACTCATATTTTTTGTGACTTCCGTGCGTTGTGCCCGTTTGTACTGCTATGTTAAGTTATGTATAGAGTCGAGTGAAGTCATAACAAGGCATTCATGGAGCAGAGCCCCAACAAGGTATGCCAGCAACCAATTTAAAAACGCCTAAATTAAAATGTGTCACTGGAAGTTTGAAAAAAAAACATGGCATGACATTTTTTTACTCAAACTGCATGTTAGCGCTCTGTCCATGCGTTTATTAAAATACCCTGTGTGCTGAAAATTTATTACTAATATATTGCTATTTTTATTTTTCTTGTAATAAATCATAAATAAATCGTCTAAGTCTTATTTTTGATACAAATACGAATGCAAATACATGTGACGACCCTGCAAACCATTTTTTCAGAGTATTCTGAATCGTAAAGAATTTTTAAAGAATTCGGAAAGATCCCATCCGATATTTTGCAGAATTTTCTAAAATTAAATAAATTACGCACACTTCCATTCTTTTACGAAATTTCGGAAGAAAATCGGTAAAGAAATGAAAATAAGCTGCTATGTGAAGAATTTCTTGCGGACTTTTTTCAGATTTTTCTTTATTTTTCGTACAGAAATTTCTTTACGAGTTCGTGTCAACCACTTCGNTAAATACATGTGACGATGAATGTGCAGAAATTATACTTCCCAAAGTAAACAGCATCTAAGCTCGAAGCAAGNAACGTGCAGAAATTATACTTCCCAAAGTAAACAGCATCTAAGCTCGAAGCAAGTAGAGTGCATACTATGATTCCATTTAATATACATAAGTATGTAGGTAGTTGGGGCAAGTCCCATTGTTTTCTTTTTTAGTTTGCAAAAAAGTTACAGTGACATTTATTCTTTATGCCGAATCAGGCCGTTTTCAGTAAGGAGTTAACCCAAATTTGGCAGTTAACCAATTCATGGCACTCGCACAAATTCGGCCACTCGAAGTGAAATAAGTCTGCTTTGGATAACCAGGCGATATATGTACGGTATCGTTCATATCAATATAACCCCATTTCACAGTGATATTGTTTGCCACTTATGTTTATTTACTTAGTTTTATGAATTTTCAATTAAAAAACAGTTACCTCTCTAACAAAACCCATATAAAATCAAGTTTAAAACATTGTATAAAATTAAAAAAAAAAATGTTCATCCAAATTTTAAACTTTTTCTTAGGCTAAACGCATAGTTACGGTGACCATCCGTCCTGAATTAAACGGGACAGTCCTCTTTTTTGACCAATTGTCCTGGCAATTAATTTATTTTACACGGGACGCATAATGTTCTGTATTCCTTTTAATGTCCTGTTTTTGTCCCGTATTCGGGGTTCGGTATTTCGACGCCTTAAAAGCTCATTAAAATGCCATGCCTATGAACAAGTCTGAATGCCTGTGCTTCGAATCGAGGAACACATACAGTGACCAAAATATAAATTGGGATTCTACATTTTAGCAAGGTTTTTCTTTTGTTTGTTTAATGTTTATTAATTTTTTTTAAGAACTCTTTTTCTAACAAAAACCACATAAATCGAAATTTCCGACGTTGTGCAAAAACTATGAGAATTAATTCTGCAAATTTTTACCAAAAATTCAAACTTTTAATAAGAACCTTTAGAAAAAAAATTGTTTGCAGTTTGGTAGCTCATTAAAATTTAGTATAATAAAGTGCAAGTGCAACATGCTGTTCATTTGCTTTCCTATCCACAAATTGTCAAACATACTAATTTTGTATGAAAAAATGCGTAGCACCGACGCTTTGCTCGCCGCTCCACTATTCTTTTAGCCTTAGAAGCATAAGAGTTTTTCGAGTATACAGTTTTATAGCCCATTAAATTTTAGTCCAATAAAGGGCAAGTTTCAAGTGGCTAAAAATTACCGTTGATTTTTTAGATGTTTTTCTCACTTGCCTCCATATAACGAATAAACATACCATTAGTCAATAAAGTTTAGGTACAGCGAATTTTTTACAATACGGCAAATATTTTTTAAATAGTTTATTTTTCGCTAATTTGTTATAAGAATATAAATAAAAATATATACACTCCAAAAATCAGAGCTCCCAACCTTATGCAAAATTAAAGAAAATTCTGCTAATTTTCATCTTAATATTGCACTTTTTATTTACACTCCATAGAAAAAAGCTAAGTACGCAGTTTTTTAGTCCACTCAATTTTAGTATAACAAAGTGCAAGTTTGAGATAGCTGGAACTCACCATTGATTTATAGCATTTTTTTTTTTTGTTGAAGGTGTCGCTCATTTTCTCCATATAAGATAATGTTCGATATTTTTTTTTATATTGAAAAAATGTGCGACACCTTCAACAAAAAAAAATGCCAAAAATCAATGGTAAATCCTAGCTTCCTCATACTTTCACTTTAAACTGCATACTCAACTTTTTCCTAAAGAGCGTAAATAAAAAGTGCAATATTTGAATGAAATTTTGCAGAATTTTCCTTAATTTTGCACAAGGTTTGGAACTCTGATTTCTGGTTTCTTTGTTTTTTTTTTTGTAGTTAACTATATTTTTATAAAAAATTAACGAAAAATAAAACATTTAAGAAATACTTGCCTGTATTGTATCTTTATTGACTGACTGTAATTTATTTTTATATAGAAGAAAACCGCAACACCATCGGCAAATAATCTAAAAAATCAACGGTAACATTCAGCAACTGGAAACTTGCATTTTATTAGACTACAATTGAATGGGCTATAACATGGTAAAATTAAAAACAGGTATAGTAATACAGCAGCTTTCTCGCTTTCTTTTCTGTATTTTCTTAACTTTCGGCTATCTTATTTTTTTCAAGCAAAATTTCAAATAAGATAGTGTCAACTTTTTCCTTGCCCTTATTACTACACCTTTAGCTCGTTGCTGTAACTCTTCTCTACCGATTATTTCTCTACTGGTAGAGAATATACGTCACTCTCTACTACTCATTAGCAGTAGAGAACAAGGCGGCGAATTCATAGATGACACTTCTGACAAAAAAAGTTTGAAATTTGTATGAAAATTGTTGATTTTCTTAGATTTCTACAAAGTTTCGAACTTGGGCTTATATGGATTTTGTTAAAGAGCGAACTATATTTTAATTGATAATTCTTAAAAATAATTAAATAAACGTAAGTGGCAAACAATAGTTGCGTTCCAGATGCTTCCCGATATTCACGAAATTCACGATTTGCAGGAACAGCTGTTTTCTCCATTAATAAACCTTATGGGAGGTGGTCACCTGCTAATATAACTTTGAAATAGAACTCCCAACACAAGAACTCTCCAAAACAAGCGCTTTTGACAGAGTCCGTTAAAGCACCCAGTGGCTTTACAGCACAAAAAGCAAAATGTTAAAAATAAATTTTCACCTAAGTTTCATAGATTTAGTGGTAGATGGGTATCTTAAAGTCGATTTGTTTTTGTGTTCAAATTCACAAATTTTAGTTTATTTGCATTTAGGCCTCGAATTTGTTTTCAACGAAATACAAATATAGAGCAAACGTTTGTTTTTCATTTTCCCTTTTGCTAAACCCCAAATCTCGCAAGTTACAATGGTGTGGTGACTGAATTAGCATTAAAGCTACTGCCTTATCCTTTGCTAGCTCTCTAGTGTAGATTTGTATTTTATTTCATGTCATGTCATGTCACAAATTTATTTTGACTTTGGTATATGCGCCGATCAGTCATAAAAGACAAAGTGGGTGTATCGTTTTCACAAATTGAGTAAAGGTGGAGCTAATGTTTTTTTTCATATCGTGAGCAATTAATAGATATAAACGTTTAATAATGTTGCGCAAATTACCGGAATTTCGTGTACAAAACAAATCAATTCCTATAGAATCGGGTTTTGGTCATTCAAAACTTTTAATCAGAACCTGCCTTTTTTAATCCGTCTAACATCCAAAAAAGCTGCGACAAATGTAGTTTTAATTAGAAAAAAAAACGAGACTTGTATTTTGGCTTTAGATTAGATTTAACAACTTGAAATCTTGCAGAAATTATCAGTCTTGTTTGCCAAACAAACATTTTTTCAGTGTTTTACGCTGCTCTGCACAGATCGCCCAAATTTTTCACCTGGCCGACTTATATGTGAGAAGCCGGCAAAAAGTATTGGCACAGCTGCTTTTTTACAATGTATGCAACAATTTTTATTGTAAATATTTTTCCGACAATTTTTTATACAAATATGGTTCATTCCACAACAAAAAAAAAAACAAAAATATAATATCCAAACTTCGAGCAAAACTCGCGAAAATTCAATAGATTTTCATACAAACTTGCATTTTTTATACTTGAATTTAATAGGCTACAAAACTGCAAACTCAAGAAAATTCAAAAAAATCTGATTAAAAAGTTGAAAATTTGCATGAAAATTTATTGAAATTTCGCGAGTTTTTCAAAAAGTTTAGAAATTATATGTGTCTGTTTTTTGTTGTAGAATGGACCATATTTTTATAAAAAGTTAGCGAAAAAATATTAGAATAGAAATTGGTGCATATATTGTCCAAATTCGCTGTGCCAATATTTTTTTCGGCAGTGTATGTATATGTACATATTTGCATAAACAAATACTAAAAAGGTCTACATATAACCATAAAAGCTATACACCGTTATTTTTTTATTAACATTGACGCCTTAAGTGTCATATTTTTTGTAAAGTACGTGAATTTTCACGAAAAAATTACCGTTAGTTGCTGAGTTACAATTTGTATATTGCATTTAATTTGCTAGTGGTGATCGACGGATTGTCAAACTTCTGTTCCTCGGGCGCGTGATGTCGGCAGAGTCGCCCAAATTTTCGCGTAGATGGTGATGCTATTTCATAAAAAGTAATACTGCCGCATTATTTGCAGCTGGAATAAATTCACATGTACCAAGGTATATCAAACAGGTAGCAGCATTAGACCAAAAAACACATTTGCGTGTCTTGTTGTTGCTTCTGGTATCGAAAGAATCNTTATTTCATAAAAAGTAATACTGTTGCATTATTTGCAGCTGGAATAAATTCACATGTACCAAGGTATATCAAACAGGTAGCAGCATTAGAACAAAAAACACATTTGCGTGTCTTGTTGTTGCTTGTGGTATCGAAAGAATCAAAAACTGTTCTGATTTTTTCCTTCTAATCAAAGCGTGCCATTTGAAAAAATAAAAATTGTTGCAACTTTCTTTCTGAGTAATAGCTGAAATACAATGCCGGCGAACGGCGAACTCACCACAGCGAAATTCGCGCTGTCAAAATTAGAACAAAAAACACATTTGCGTGTCTTGTTGTTGCTTCTGGTATCGAAAGAATCAAAAACTGTTCTGATTTTTTCCTTCTAATCAAAGCGTGCCATTTGAAAAAATAAAA